CACATATTTTAATTATTTAATAGGTGAATAATGGGATCTTGAACACAACAAATACTTGTAAATATTCATTAACAACATCAATGACTTTATATCATGAAAAATAAACCATAGAACTCTAGACAAACATCAAATCAAACAGTCTATCTTGCTATCCTGTGTCTTGCTTTCAGGTCTATTTATAAGATGACATTTAAAAATAAGAAATTGCAAATAGACTGGACTGCTGTAGAACTCAGAGCATTTTTTCCTTATTCAGAAAACAGATTTTCCTCCCCTCTCCTCCATTTTGTTGAATACAAATACAGCTTCTATACTACATAAAGATTCGTTTTAATTTAAAGAATGCAATTAACACTTTTGTTGACCATCATTTGCAAAATGCAATAAGTATGACCCATTGAAAGTCATTGGTTAATGTATGGTATGGATCAATATTGCCTGGTGAAATTCATTTACTGAGGAAAAAATGAGCAATGCTGATCAAATAAAAGGGGGAAGATCACTTGTCTTGAATTTTCTTAGCAAGCTTAGGATATTCAATAAGTTGTGTTCTGTCATTTACATTCTTTTGCAGAGCATTTGAATTTTAGAATAATATCAGCACTTTATGTTTTGATTCACTTCTAAAATCAGTTCTGCTAAAAAGAATAATCCACACTAATTATCAGTTTGTCAGAGACTGTCAAAGCCCTAAACATTATAAAAAACCCAAGAGTTCAGGTCTTTCATATTATCTACTAAAATTTAATTCTTAGAAATACGGAAAAAAATAGATTACTATCCTCCTATTCAGTAGGGGCTATTTAATTCTCAAATTACTCTTCATTATCAAACAATAATTGCAGTAATATTAATTTTCTCTAATCACATAAACATGCAGCTGAGTTAACATTTTTATATGGCAATGTAATTAGTGAGAGTTTTAAATAAAATAGCCTAAATAGAAAGAATATAGAATGTGGCATTTTTCTGGAGATCTATTTGAATAGGGACATCAGAGAGAAGGTAACATAAACAGACTTAATGTAAAGAGAATTGCTATAAATTATTTTAATAAAAGGCTTAGTAGTTTGTAATAAGGTCTACTGTGTCAAGTTATATTCAGAAATTCAATGCTCAGATATCCCCATTAATCTGATATATTTTAATGCACTTTAACACAGATTACATGTGGTAGCAACTGGCATACTTATTTGTACGAGATGATTTATCATTTTTTAGTTTCTACAATTTAGTGGGGAATTGGATGCCAGATAAATTGGCATCTTTTCCATGAAAATGTCTAGCAACTCTGGAAAATGGAGCAATCATTTGAGGTGAGAGACCTGGGAAACTTAATTAGAAAAAGGAAATCAGTTTTTTAAAAGATACACTGAATTTCATGAATGGAGGAAAACTCACCTCATAACCTTATTAAATATGTCTCTTAAAACAGTAATAAAACTTCTGGTTTCTGGTCTAGCTTGCGAGAAGCTTGCAAGTCATCCTTCCCTTCTTCATAAACATAAAAAGCTGAACAAACTAAAAATCAAGAACTCTCCTTAGACCCATCAGAGAATTGAAGTCACAAGGAAAACTGCTCTCTGCCAAATTAGTGGGGCAGTCAGGTAGATACAGAGAATCATAGCTCACCAAAACAGACACTCAGGAGCAGAAACCACTGCTGGAGCGAGTAGCAGGGCACGAGAGCACACTGTAATTCTCAAAATGCTGGACAATCTTGAGAGTTCAAAACTCCAGAGGTGTCCAGTCTTAGGGGATCCTCCATAACTTTCCTAAGTTTTACCTCCATGTTCTCACAGTGAAGATAGGAGAAAAATCCCTTTGTGCTTCCAACAGGGGGAGCGAATAGCCATTTTGAAATTCTGCCAGAATATTATGTTCTTCTTAGCAAGGCCTGAGCTGAAGGAAAACTATTTTACCAGAGCCTAATCAATCTGGGAGAAAGGAAATACTCAGTTCTAGCCTCCTGAAGTTTTCTTGTTGCGTCTAAGGGAGAGGAGGACTGAGAAGCACAGGCGAACGTCACAGCCCAGGCGTGAGGCACAGTCTCACTAGAAGTCAGACCTAATCATAGAACTCTTGAAAGCTTCTCCTCCCTCCACATGTTAACTACATCAAGAGAGGTCTCTTGTAATAACAAGGGGTATAACTAAAAGAGCTACACATCTCATGTCTATTTAAGAAGTCCTAAGAAAACCCAATGATTACGGGGAAGATAAAAACAAGGTGATATCAGCAGAAAATTTTAGCCTCTGACACCTAATAGCTACAGCAAACAGCAAACATGGCCTGACTCCTAGCCAAATGAAAATAAAGTCTTACACTAAAGATCTATTTATCTCAGTTACTTAGACCCAGGACACCATGTCTGGCTATAAATATAAAATCATGAGGCATATTACAAGATGAAAAGTACAATTTGAAGAGACAGGAGAAGCACCAAAATCAGACTCAGGTATGGGAGAGATTTTGCAATTATCAGACTAGAAATTTAAAACAACTATGATTAATATGCTAGGACTTTGATAAAACAATTTCAATTTCAATGACGACTAAAATAAAAAATATATGTTATATTCTGTGCTGTTAAGGATACTAAAATTATACCAGCTTGAGTTCACAGCCTATCGGAGTGGACAGAGAAATAAGCAAATATTTTACTAGAACATGTTAACTGGTGTAATATTTAGTCTCTTTCTGCCTATTCTGCTGCTAGAATGCCATGCCCTCTCCCCTCTGTGAATTGTCAATTATTCCCTATGTCCACTGTTTTCATGCTCACCAAACTCTACATGCACACTTAATCCTAATCCTAATACAAATAAATTTACTTGTCTTCTAATCCATTGAACTGCTTTGTTTCTTAAGATTCTCTCAAATTTTATACCTTTCTGTGAATGACATTCTTTTAAAGAATATAAGAAATTAAAGAAGTTTGACATCAGGATTATGATTCTTATTTTTTTTTTCATATCCCATTTACTCTCAGGATTAGTTGCAAAAGGGAGAAAATAAATTTAAGGCAATTTTTCAATGATATTATACATTTGTCATACCTGTTTCCAAAATAGTTTTGTCATTCTCTTATTTCAATATTTAGGATTCTAACTTGGCAGTAAAATTTCTGTCATTCCAACAAAGACTTTAAACATTTTCTTTGATTTTCTTATAGTTCTTCAAAATATTTTGCGTTTTATTCCTATTGATAATTTATGTTCTATTTTCAAGGATATACTTTTAAGTATATCTAATTTTAAATGTCTGTACTGTTAGACCATTGATATGTATAACATTTAAATATTAAATTATTTTTCAATAAATCAAATTTCCTCTATCTTTATCTACTCATTTTAGAACATGACTAATGCATTAACAAAGTTGAATCTCCCTTACAGCTTTTTACCCACTCTCCCTTATAATAGTAAGGTTTTTTTAGTTCTGTTTTAGCTTTAAAGTATTTGAGAAAGTATAAGAATACTAATTTCAAATTAACTTATTAAATGCCTTAAAAATATAGATGACACTTCCTTCTACTTAGTAGACTTGTGGTTTTATAAAACCACATATTTTTCAAGATTTTTATATTTTCAATATATACTAATATATAAGTATACTAATATACAAGTATTAATTGATTCATATTCCAATGAGAAAAGTTATATCCCAGGGTATTAACTATTGAAAGAAATTTTAAGGGTACTTGGTAGTAAATTCTTTGTGTTCAATAAAAACATTTATGAAATGACGATTTATTTTCTATATACCAGTCTGTATTGGCAGGAGAATTTAGTTAAAAAATAAAGGATTTATTTCAGATTGTTTTCTTTCTACTATCTCTTTGAGGAAGCCAACATTGGTATAATCTGAGGCATCATACAATTAACTTCTTGTCACCAAATACTTTCTACACTCACGTATCAGAGTGCCTAAAATTCTTCCCCAAAGATCGTCCTTCTGTGATCACTAAGAAAAACACCCTTCCCCAGAGCAGAACCAGGGTAGGAGGACTCTAAAAATTCAGGAAGGTGGCAGTTCTGGTTTAGCTTATACATATCTCTCTCAGCCAGATGAACCTTGGGAATACCCTCAAAAGGGAAGAGTATCTGACTGAAGCACAGGCTTTCTCAAATTATTTTTTGATGACAGTTACCATTTTCCATTCAATTCCTTGACTACTTCTGGAGACTCCTACTTCTGACTCTTCCTTTCTCATCTTCCAGCTCTAAGGAGTCTAGTTCTACCCATACTTGTGCATCTTTCTTAGGCACTGGGCAGGTCTCATCTTCCTTTTAAGTCTGATTCCTTAATCTTGCACTGGGTCATCTAACTGTGTGTCCTCTCTAATTATGGAGCCTTAATCTCATTTTAGACTGGTCTATCTTTTAATGACATTTATAAATATACATTTAAAATTCCTGACATCATAGTCTTGCCAATTGCTGTTCCCTTACTATATTCATGTGCTGTGGTCAGTTTTAATAAAGGATTGTGGTCAGAAGCTATTTTTTAATAGAGACATTGCCACCAAAGTAAGTCTATTCCAGTGCTAATGGAGTTTGGGCCAGTCCAGACTTGCAAAGAAAGCAGATTCATTCTCCTTGGACATACAATACTGTGAGCCCAACTCTGGAAGCAGTGCTATGCCCTTGGGCAAAATAGAGGTTCTGCCAAGACTCTGACAATATTAAGTGATTTCTCTACTGGCATCCTCCTTCCAAATGCATTAAAACATTAAAGGACAATACATTAAGTGACTTGCACCTTAGTGTGAATCAATTTATCAGGATGCTTTTCTCCTGAAAGGAAAGGCTGAGGGTGGTTGTGATGAATGGACAAGAAAGGAAAAGGGAATGCTGAGAAGCAGCATGTACAGTCAGAGAAAGAAACACTAATATTAACTTTTCCAACCTAATTTCTCACCAAAGAATTTTCTATTATTCACCATATTTCAGAAGCAATGAAAAAAGTATCACAACAAAACCATCAATAGTCTTTACCACAAATCCAGATATGCATAAACATTCTGAGCCAAAGTCAGGTTCATTTTCTATGTGTATTCCATGCACACACAATTTGGAAATGCACTCCTCAAGTCCATTATCACAGTGATGTCCTGACCACCCTGTTAAACACAATCACAAAACATATATTCAATTTTTAATAATAATATAATAAATAGCTTATGTATAGCTAACAATACTCTTACTATGTTATAATTATACTTGATGTTTTATATAAATTATCACAGTTTATCTTCATAATCATTCTATCAGGTAGTATTATTATTATCTCTATTTAGTAGATGAGAATATTAAACTTAGAGAATATAAATAATTTCCCCTAAAATTACACAGTTATATAAAAATGGAAGCAAAGCATATGTAAAATAAAGTTTTGGCTTGTACCTATGGTGCCGTTCTACATCACCTATCCAAATATCTTTATTTTACCTTGGAATAAATACATAGAAGGTAATGGAATAAACAGATTTCATACTTCCATTTAATATGAATCTTAAACTCAAAGGAAAGCAATTATTCCATATTCCTGGATATAAAATGTTTTCTTGTAATACTTGTAGCATTTTACAGTAAGTATTTCTTATGCTGTACTTCTACAGAATTTAAATAATATGTCTATGTTCAGGTCATTATCAGCTGTAAGAATGCTTAAACATTGTAATATTCCAAATTAAAACATTGTGTGTTTGCCCTTTTTCTTTGGCTTTTGCCATTATTTTATCACCAACCTATCAACCAACATTGCTAAGCTATCCCCAAGATAATATTAAAACTATAGTTTACTAGTTATACATTAAGAACACTTTTAAAAATCATTGGTTCTTTCCTATAAGGGATCTATTTACAATGATCCTTAATATGTTAGGAACATTTTAACTTGAAAATACCATTCTACATAGGGACAATAAGTCTTTAGAGGCAGCTGTTACTAGCTGCCTATCTATATATAATTGTATACTGCCTATGTATACTATAATGCATACTGTAATTGCAAATATTCAAGCCTTATTTTTCTATGTATTATTCAACAGCATTTAATCTGACCTCTGGCTATCGGGAAATGCATTCTTATTCTTGTTCCTGCTTAGCAATAGAGTCTCACTGTTCCTCTTTGATAAATTATAAGAGAACAATTACATAAGTATTCTGAGGTGCTTAGAAGTGATTTAATGCAAAACAGCATTGTAAGAAGAAAAATACGACAGGAGTTTAAAAGATTTGGCAGAGTCCAGATCAAACTCAGAATGAGGTGCCAAAAGACTAAATTTACCAAATCCACATCCAAGACTCTTTTCACTTCACTTCATAATGCTCTTTCATATGCTGAGTTGATTCTGTAGGCAACTCTACTATGGAGGCTATAAAAGGCGATACAGAAAAAAAAACATTTTTGCAGGGCTTATAAAAAGCCACTATGACCAGTCTCTCACAAGGTTGAATATCCAACATATTGTTGAACATAAAAGCATATTCCATAAAAATACTTACATTGATTAACTGTTCTTGTAAAAGTCAAATACATACAAACTTAATAACATTGCTTAGCGATATACATATATAAAATAAAGCTCTAAAGAAGAACAGTAGGGAATGTTGAATATAAAGCTCAGAACAGTCACTCTAGGGCAGGGGGATATTAATGTATTCAGTGAGTAATATAGATGAGGCTGGAATTACTGCTAATATTCTATTCCTTGAAGCCAATGGAAGGTACACAAATGTTTATTATATTGTTTTATAAAATAAATATTCCTTAATTATATATTCTTTTGATTGAATAAAACAGTTCACAATATAGTTTAAACAATTAAAAATGATGAAGTATTTTTCCTCTTGCTTCTAATATTATGAAGGACATTACAAAACTTTAAACCATAAGATGAGAACTGTGAAAGAAAAGAAAATCATCATACCAGTTAAAAAGACAAGGAAGACTTTATTCAAGAGTATTTCAATAAGAAAGAAAGAGATTACTGAAACAGGGGAAAGAGATGGAATTTAACTGCACTGAACCAAAGGTAGGTGGGAGGATTTTCAAATGCTGGAGTGAGCTAATGGGAAAATACTGGAGGATACTGGGCTGGGGGAGAGGTTGGTCAAAGTGCTTTGTATATCTGTGTTTGGTACTTGTCACTTATTAACAGTGGGCTCCTAGCTTTCCGCAGATCCTAGTTGGGGAGGGAGAGGCCCTATCCTTTTCTGTAATTACATTTCAAAAGGATGACTCCCTGGTACTTGAGAAAGACATTTCTGGATTGTAAAATTGGCAAGAGGCTGAAAGAAAGTTTACATTTCAGGGGCAGAGAAAAAAGTTACAATTACTAGTTTTCTAAAGCAAATGCTCTGAAGAAAGGGAGGTCAGGAGCATGGAGTCTTGAGGCCTGTCTAAAGTGCAGTTAAGCTGCGGGGAACATTATGGATGTGTTGCTCAAAAACTACAAACTAGGATACAATATAAGCTAGTCAAGATTTAGCACAGGAAACAGAAACCACTCTAGGTATTCAAGCAAAAAGAGTCGTAATAACCAAGAATAAGATGCTTCCAAAATTATTAGAAGGAAGGGCTGTAGGAGTAACTCTAAGAACCACAGATATGACTCTCTGGGAGATACTACCTCAACTATAATCAGGAAATTGAGAAACACAAAAGCCAACATTGGAATTATTCAGTTTAAGAACTCATTGTACTAAATAAAGGAAGCTGGATTACCAGGAAGCAGCCAGCACGATCTCCCTGGCTGCCCCTTTCTACCCTGAAGCTAGTGATTGAACACTACATTATAGAGTCCCACTGCCATTCCAGATGGTTCTGTATTTTAATACAAAGTCAGAGACTCAGAAAATCTCACGTGTCCATGATCTTATCCACCATATGAAATTGCTAAGACATCTAGAAATGATCTCCACTAGATCATCTACATTTCACGTATATTTATTATTGATGGAACACAATTTCTATTCACATCAGCTTCAGTGGAAGTCTAGATATTGCAGTTTTTTGTTTTCTTGTCTCTGCAGTACAGAAACCACAATAGACAGTAATGGATGCTGAGTGCCAATTATAACCATTAAAATAGATGAATGGTTAAAGAATATGTGGCATACTTATACAATGGAATAAATACAACTTGGCCATAAAAAAGAACAAAATCTTTCCATTTGTGACAACATGGATGAACCTGTAACAGCACTTCAAACAGTCTTAAGAGTTAACTTGCTGCAAGTTAACATATTCCTTACTTGCTAACCTAAGTCCCTTGATGTATAACAGAATTAATTTATTTTCTTTGATTTGCAGGCCACGGGACTTAAGGAGTGAAGAACCAGAAATTTTCCAGGCCACAGAAGCCAGCAAGTCTGTTTGAAGCCACCTCGGCTATCTGATTAGCCTACCTATTGTTTAGCAAATTGTTTTTCTTTCTAGGTCACATAGATGATTTTACTTAACTCCCTTTGTGTACCTGAAGACCTTGCTGACCTTTGCAGCAAGAACAGAGTACTGTTACACATCACAAAACACAAACAGAAACCCCCCTTGCTCAACTCTGGAGAACTGAGAAAATGTAGCTGGCATCATTGAGTCTATATGAAATCAAGAAATATTGTAGGCCACTGTACTCCCTTTGCTAATTAAGTTCCCTAAATTCCTTTAAAAACCCTTGGGCCAGGTGGAAACCTCTGGAGACAAGAGTCTGCCTTCTCCCTAGGTTGCTGGCCTCCTGAATAAAGCTCAAATTCCTTTCCAATCAAAAACTTGTCTCTTGAGTAATGGCCTTTCAACCACGGCATTTCAGTAATGGCATTTCAACCAGGGATAGCCGAACTTGGGTTCGGTAACAGACCTATTAAGCTAAGTAAAATAAGGCAAGTGGAGAAAGACAAATACTGTATGATTTCCACTCACATGGAATTAAAAACAAAACAACAAATAAGCAAAATAAAAACTCATAGACATAGAGAAAAGACTACTGGTAAAGAGACGGAGGAAGTTGGGCGTGGGCAGAATGGATAAAAAGGGTCAACTGTATGGTGATGGATGGTAATGAAACTTGAGGTGGTGAGGTGGTGATCATTTTGTAGTGTATACAGATGTTGAATTTTAAAGTTTTATATCTCAAATGTATATAACAAAATGTTTTAACACAAATATTAATCATAATTTGAGTCTATTATCTCAAATACATGTGCTTTGGTTACTAAAGGTCAGTGGAAAATAATTTATAGCCTTTTATCTTGTTGCTAGAAAAGATGTTTCTTGTATATGTATATATAATGAATATATATTTAACATATATAGTTATATGCAATAATATATATATACATATATACATACACATATGTATGTATATATGTATATATATGTATATATACACATGTATACATACATATGTGTATGTATATATGTATATATATACATGTGTATATATATATGTGTGTGTGTGTATATACATATATATGTATATATATAAAATTGGAATTATATATATATATATTGGAATTATATATATATATTGGAATTATATATATATTGGAATTATATATATAAAATATATAAAATTGGATTAGATTTAGATCTTTTTCCAGGGAGCCAGTCTTTGAAGTCAAAATTCTTTTAGCTTCATAATATGCATTAGGAAAAAAAAAAGGTAATGAAGAGAGATGGAAACTAGCAATGTAATAAATAGTGAATAAAATTAGCTTGTATTTTTAAAATTTTTGGTGGATGTGGTATATTCACAGGCCCCAGAGTCTGGCTACTTGCTGTGAAAGCTGAGGCAAGTTACAAGATCTTGCAAAAGGCAATAGCCATGTACCTACTTCATAAACTTATGGTGAGATTTGAGTGAAATGATCTGTGCAAATTCTAAACACAGTACATAGTAAGTTTTTTTTAAAGAAACGTTGGCTACTATTATTTGTTCCTGGTGCCATGCTGAACAAACTCTATGGATGAGTTTATTTTCCAATTTTGTGAATGAAGAAACAGATACTTTGAAAAGTAAAATTTACATGGGCTAATGGGCTCAGGCTGTCTCATAGAAAAATAATATATCTTAACTATAATTCTATGTTTAGTGCTTTACAACGTTTTAGGTG